CCCCTGTGAACTCTTGCAAGTCTCTGCAAGCCCTGTAAACTCCTGCAACCCTCTATGAACTCTTGCAAGCCTCTGCAAACCCCTGCAAGCCTCTGTGAACTTCTGCAAGCCCATGAGAACACTTGCAACCCCCTGCAACCCACTGTGAAGGCCCACGAGCTCCCACAGCAGCGCCGCGGTTGCAAACCGTATTCCTGGAAGAAATCTTTCAGCGTGGGCATCTGCGCGCGGCCGCCGAAGGCCTCGGCCTGCTCCACCAGCGCCTCGCGCACGGCCGCGTGGCCGCACAGCACCACGACCGGCTTGCTGCCCATGTACACCGTGAACACGGGGCCGTAGGTGGCACGGAGCTGCGGGGACAAGGGACAGCGTGGGGACATCCCCGCGGACGCCGGGGCAGCCCCCTTGGAACGGCGGGAACGCGGCTTTGCAATGGGAACAGCTGCATGGGGGAACATCTGGCGCGGGAATGTCCGGAGTTGGAAAGGGGAATTAGGAAGGGAAATAGGGGAGAAAAGGATAGGGGTGTGGAAAAGCTGGAGCGTTGCAGGAAAAAGGGGTTCTAGGCCAGGAAAAGGTAGCGCCAGCTCAGGGAAATCTGGAATCTGTGCAAGAAAAATGGGTTCTAACTTGGAAAAAGTGCATCTAGTGTGGAAAAAGCTGGAAGTCATGGGGGAAAAGGAGGTTCTAGATTGGGGAGATCCGGGATATATGTGGGAAGGTGAATGCATGTGGGAAAAATGGGTCATAGCGTGGGAAATGTGGAGCCTTGCAGGAAAACCTTGCAGGAAAAAGGGGTTGTAGTGGGAAAGGGAGGTTCTAGCATGGGAAAACCCAGAACCTCTCAGGAAAATCGTGTCGTAGCTTGGAAAGACGCAGAATCTGGGTGGGAAAAATGGTTCCTAGCATGGGAAAACCTGGAGCCTTGCAGGAAAACTGGGTTGTATTGGGAAAGGGAGGTTCTAGCATGGGAAAAAAAATGGGTTCTAGCATGGGAAAAACAGGTTTTAGCATGGGAAAATCTGGAATATCACAGGAAAACCAGGTTGTATCTTGGAAAGACGCAGAACCTGGGTGGAAAAAAGGGGTCCTAGCTTGGGAAAACATGGAGCCTTGCAGGAAAACCAAGTCGTAGCTTGGGAAGACGGGTTCTAGGATGGGAAAAATGGATTCTAGCATGGGAAAAACAGGTTTTAGCATGGGAAAACCTGGAATATCGCAGGAAAAACGGGTCGTATCTTGGGAGGATGGGTTCTAGCATGGGAAAAAATGGGTTCTAGCATGGGAAAAACAGGTTTTAGCATGAGAAAACCTGGAATATCGCAGGAAAAACTGGTCATAGCTTGGGAAGATGGGATCTAGCATGGGAAAAACAGGTTCTAGCATGGGAAATCCTGGAATATCACAGGAAAACCGAGTCATAGCTTGGAAGGATGCAGAACCTGGGTGGGAAAAAGGGGTTCTAGCTTGGGCAAATCCGGAGCCTTGCAGGAAAACTGGGTCATAGTGGGAAAGACGGGTTCTAGCACAGGAAAAATGGATTCTAGCATGGGAAAAACAGGTTTTAGCATGAGAAAACCTGGAATATCGCAGGAAAAACTGGTTGTAGCTTGGGAAGATGGGTTCTAGCATGGGAAAAAATGGGTTCTAGCATGGGAAAACTGGGTTCTAGTGTGGGAAAAATGGGTTCTAGTGTGGGAAAAACAGGTTTTAGCATGGGAAAACCTGGAATATCACAGGAAAACCAGGTCGTAGCTTGGGAAGACGGGTTCTGGCATGGGAAAAACAGGTTCTAGCATGGGAAATCCTGGAATATCATAGGAAAACCAGGTCATAGCTTGGGAAGATGGGATCTAGTATTGGAAAAAATGGGTTCTAGCATGGGAAAATGGGTTCTAGCATGGGAAAAAATGGGTTCTAGCATGGGAAAAACAGGTTCTAGCATGGGAAAACCTGGAATATCACAGGAAACCAGGTCGTAGCTTGGGAAGACAGGTTCTAGCATGGGAAAAAAAGGTTCTAGCATGGGAAATCCTGGAATATCA